GCTCTGAGAACTCCCTGTGGGTAACTCTGGCACCCTGGAACGCGTTGTTGTAGAGCTAGGGAAGCTGCCCAGTTAGCCACAAGAGCAGCAAAGTCCTGTGGTCTTTGGCTGGATTAAAATCCAAAGAAAATGCTTATTCCCTCCCTCTGGTGTAAATTATAGCTATGTGCATAATGAAATTTCTTATTTGCATTTCACCAAACTCCAAATCCCTCCTTACTTAACCATTATGAGTTTTTTTTTTTAGTTTTTTTTAGGGGGAGAGGGGGGTTCGGTTATAGGCCTGAACTCGGGGCCTGGGCGCTGTCCCTCAGCTTTTCAGCTCAAGGCTAGCGCTCTACCACTTGAGCCACAGCGCCACTTCCAGCTTTTTTTTTTTCTGCCTACGTGGTACTGAGGAATCGAACCCAGGGCCTCATGCATGCAAGGCAAGCGCTCTACCACTGAGCCACCTTCCCAGCTTGTTTTTTCTTTTTTTAATGGCACTTTTAAGGTTTGCTGTGGCCCAAGGTGAACTGTTTGCCCAGACTTTTTATTCCTGGAGACAGACCCTGGGGTCTTCTTCACCTTTTACAAATTCACAGCTCGTTTTGTGGGTGGTTTGTGTGTAGTGGGCACATGTGGGCACAGTGCTGAGAGTTCCTAGGTGTTGGAAAACTTCATAAGTATGGGTCCTATAGCTCAGAGCAATTAAATGGCCAAAGAAGAAAAAAGAAAGAAAAAGAGGCAGACAATGAGTAAAGATAGATGATAAAAGAAACAGCAAGAACCAGGTTAACTTCTTACAGATACGCACACACACACACACATACAAGTTCTTGCTGCCTCTGAGGACAAAATGTAGTCTTGATGAACTATAATAAGCAACCAAATGCAATGCTGGACAGAGATAAACCCAGGGAAATAAGTTGCGCATCTCTCTCAATTTAAAAATGATTAATATCTTCCAAGAAGACCTGGGAGAGTGGGGCTAAGTCACGGCAGACATCTACCAACTCGGGGGAGCAGCTCTTCCTGCCTCGGTCTCCCCCAGTCACCGCCAGGCACTGCAGGCGGGTCCGAAGTTGGAACTGAGATGCCACACAGTTCCTTCACGAACTCAAGAGCAAGGAAAAAGGAGACACGGAGGCTCCCAGGATTGTAGGAGCGGCCTGCAGGCTCAGGGGCTCGTGACAATTGGAGCAAGACGAGGTCAGAGCCACTGCTTGGATCCCACTCCATCCTAAAACACGCATGCCACCAGAGGGCCGCCAGGGCCCTCTACACTAAGTAACGGCACTCATCAGTCACAGAGTGGAGGGAGCGCTGAGTTGCGCCGTCTAGATGCTTTCCCGCAGCCCTGGGCATGGCTGCTGTCCCTGGAGAGCACATGGGATGCTTCGCTTGGAGGTGAGAATGCCACCCGGGCCAGCAGAGGCGGGAGGCGCAGACGGAAGGTCTAGGGAGGAGGGGCTCCGGGTCTGTGCCCAGACATGGACATTTGCTCTTTTATCTAAGGCTGACTACATGACAAGGAAAATGTAATGTTATTAATATGCCATCATGCAGCAAACTGCTCTTCTAATGAAACAGCTCATCTTCAGGTAAACCCATATGTCTCTTCTATACCACTGTGGAGTTGTGCCTGATACTAGTTCAAGGATACTGGTTAGTGTTCACCAGCAAGGCACAAGAGCATAGGGTAGTGTTACATAAACGATGACAGAGTTATCCCCACTCCAGCACCAGGAAGCGGTGCCACAGTTCACACACACACACACACACACACGCACATGCACACATGCAGCACACACGCACACGCGTGCGCGCACACACATGCGCACACGCGCGCACACACATGCACGCACACACACGCACACCCTCGGGCCCAGGAAGCAACGAGCAGTACACAGGCGTGGGAGCCTGTGGCTCCTTCCCCATCATTTTGAATGACAGCCTCCTGTATCTGCTGTTCCCAAGTTAGGGGCAAGACCTATCTGGAGTTTAAACACAGGGCCATCTTTACCAGAAAGTGGCAACCCCCCACAGCCAGGGCAAGCAGGGTAACGGACACACACTCACGCTCAGACACGCACACGCACACACACAGGCACAGAGCCCCGCCCCCCTGAGGGTAACGGACACACACTCACGCTCAGACATGCACACGCACACACACAGGCACAGAGCCCAGTCCCCCTGAGGGTAACGGACACACACTCACACTCAGACACGCACAGGCACACACACAGGCACAGAGCCCAGTCCCCCTGAGGGTCACGGACACACACTCACGCTCAGACACGCACACACAGGCACAGAGCTCAGTCCCCGAGGGTAACGGACACACCTCATGCTCAGACATGCACACACACAGGCACAGAGCTCAGTCCCCCTGAGGGTAACGGACACACACTCACGCTCAGACACGCACACACAGGCACAGAGCTCAGTCCCCGAGGGTAACGGACACACACTCACGCTCAGACACGCACACACAGGCACAGAGCCCAGTCCCCCTGAGGGTAACGGACACACACTCACGCTCAGACACACACACACACAGGCACAGAGCCCAGTCCCCCTGAGGGTAACGGACACACACTCACACTCAGACACGCACACACAGGCACAGAGCCCAGTCCCCCTGAGGGTAACGGACACACACTCACGCTCAGACACACACACACACAGGCACAGAGCCCAGTCCCCCTGAGGGTAACGGACACACACTCACGCTCAGACACACACACACACAGGCACAGAGCCCAGTCCCCCTGAGGGTAACGGACACACACTCACACTCAGACATGCACACGCACACACACAGGCACAGAGCCCAGTCCCCCTGAGGGTAACGGACACACACTCACACTCAGACACGCACAGGCACACACACAGGCACAGAGCCCAGTCCCCCTGAGGGTCACGGACACACACTCACGCTCAGACACGCACACACAGGCACAGAGCTCAGTCCCCGAGGGTAACGGACACACACTCACGCTCAGACACGCACACACACACAGGCACAGAGCCCAGTCCCCCTGAGGGTAACGGACACACACTCACACTCAGACACGCACAGGCACACACACAGGCACAGAGCCCAGTCCCCCTGAGGGTAACGGACACACCTCACACTCAGACACGCACACACAGGCACAGAGCCCAGTCCCCCTGAAGGTAATGGACACACCTCACGCTCAGACACACACACACACAGGCACAGAGCCCAGTCCCCCTGAGGGTAACGGACACACCTCACGCTCAGACACGCACACACAGGCACAGAGCCCAGTCCCCCTGAGGGTAACGGACACACACTCACACTCAGACACGCACAGGCACACACACAGGCACAGAGCCCAGTCCCCCTGAGGGTCACGGACACACCTCACGCTCAGACACGCACACACACACAGGCACAGAGCCCAGTCCCCCTGAAGGTAATGGGCACACACTCACGCTCAGACACGCACACACACAGGCACAGAGCCCAGTCCTCCTGAGGGTCACGGACACACCTCACGCTCAGACACGCACACACACAGGCACAGAGCCCAGTCCCCCTGAGGGTCACGGACACACACTCACGCTCAGACGTGCATGCACACACACAGGCACAGAGCCCAGTCCCCCTGAGGGTCACGGACACACCTCACGCTCAGACACGCACACACAGGCACAGAGCTCAGTCCCCTGAGGGTAATGGACACACTCACACTCAGACACGCACACACACAGGCACAGAGCTCAGTCCCCCTGAGGGTCACGGACACACCTCACGCTCAGACACGCACACACAGGCACAGAGCTCAGTCCCCTGAGGGTAATGGACACACTCACGCTCAGACACGCACACACACAGGCACAGAGCTCAGTCCCCCTGAGGGTCACGGACACACACTCACGCTCAGACACGCACACACAGGCACAGAGCTCAGTCCCCTGAGGGTAATGGACACACTCACGCTCAGACACGCACACACACAGGCACAGAGCTCAGTCCCCCTGAGGGTCACGGACATACACTCACGCTCAGACACGCACACACACAGGCACAGAGCCCAGTCCCCCTGAGGGTAACGGACAACCTCACGCTCAGACACGCACACACACAGGCACAGAGCCCAGTCCCCCTGAGGGTAACGGACAACCTCACGCTCAGACACGCACACACACAGGCACAGAGCCCAGTCCCCGAGGGTAACGGACACACACTCACGCTCAGACGTGCACGCACACACACACACGCTCAGAGGCCCACATTCAGAGCTGGTGCTCTCCCTCTGCCCCACCGACCCCCACCTAATAAAGCCAGGAGGCTGGGAGCGGGCGGGAGCGAGCGGCACGCAGTTTGATGTCCCCAGCAGGACACGGGGAGTCAGCAGCGACGCTGTAAATCCAAGCATGGCCTCAGCCCGTGTGAAGTGGGGCCTCTGCCTGGCAGAGCTCCCTTTGATGCAAGCGCAGCGTACTAACGGGAAAGCGGTCACTTTTATTTGTCTATACTGTCTGCAACAGGGACCTGACCCATTTAGTGCAGGCCAGCGTGAGCACGCACAGAGAAGCAATCTGTTGCAAATTAGCACAAGTCCCCTTTCATTGACTAGCTAGTAACTGGAAGTGGTTTAGAAAGTGCAGCTTACCAGACCTGACAGTGTATCTGCCTGTGTGGACAGAAAGCTCTCCACCACTCCCCAGGCCCCGAGGCAATAATCCTTCCTGGACATCTACTTGATCCCAAAGAAAACACTGACTGTGACACACACACACGCGCGCACACACACGCACGCACGCACACACATACCAACGCATGCACACATGTGCACACACTCACACACGCATGCACACACACAAACACGCACACATGTGCACACACACGCGCATACACACTCACACGCGCGCACACACACACTCACACACACGTGCGCACACACATGCACACCCACACGCACACACCCACACCCACGGCTCTGAAAGGGCCCGTCTGCTGGGCTCCTCACGCAGCCCCTCACCTTTCTTTAGATATGTTTTTACTCTCTCGTTTCCAGATCGTCTTGAAGTCGCTGCAGAACTCATACCACACGGTAAACACGTAGCTGGGTGTGATCTCCTTCTCACCAGCCTTTGGCTTCATCTCAAAATATCCCACCGTTGTTTCAAAACTGTAAGAAGCAGGGAAGCGAGAAGGGGGAGCTGTCAGCATCAGAGCCAGGGAGCGCGAGGAGGCGGGCGGGCGGCCACTGGCCTCGGGAAACCCAGGGAAGTCCAGACCGACTTGCCAAGAAATGCAATTTGGCTGGGGAACCAACGGGCACATCTGATCTCCATGAAAACAGCATGCATGTTCCAGGGGTGCATAGATCAAACTGCCTGAGTTTGCTCTGCTTCTCAAACCCATGTTGGTTATCTGCCCTGGACGATGTTGAGTGATGACATCTAACACCGACCGCACCTGCAGCATGCGCCGCAGGCGGCCCGACAACCCACTTGGAACAATCTGTTGGATGTCTGAGGAAAACGAGGTTCGGGGCCCTGGCATATTCTGGCTGTTGGGTTCATCACTGGGCACCCGCGACTCTCAGTCTCTTACGTGACTTAGACTACAAGCTCTTGAGGACAGCTACATCTTAAAACCTGATATGGATACGAGAAGGTAAACATGGAGCCTAGGCAAGATTTGGATGAAAGACTATCTCTGATCTGTAACAAGTGATCTCCAGTCAATTTGGAAAAGAACTCAGGTTTTCCAAACTACATTCCCAGGTATCACACAAGCCGCCCCATGAAAGCTCTGGACCGACGGCCAGGGCCTCCCACGCAGCCCTTCTTGGAGGCCCTGGCTTCCACTTCAAGCCATTTATAGCTCTGAACTCCATCTTTCCCCCCTCACCCAACCCCCTCCACGCCGAGCTAATTTGCCATGAGCAAGAACAGTTAAATAGTCCCCTTTTCTAGGCTGTTGGAAACTAATCAAACCAGGAATTGCTGGGCATGTTTATTACTCAATACTCCATCAGATTTTTTTTTTGGTGTGGCCATCCTGAATACTGAGTTTCTTAAGGAACTCTATTCAATGGTGATTGTAAATGCTGAAGCCCTGTAACTATTATGAAGTATACTTTCATCTCCTCCTCAGTTATTGGACAATATGTATCTCATAAGGTTTTATCACATTTCACAGATGAACTGTTAATTGATTCCATGGCTACAATTAGGTGAGATCCAAGCCCGAGCTACAGCTCTGAGCCCTATAAACTTTTTTGTGCTTCTGTAAATCACAAATCTGTTTTTAATGCAAATTAAAAATACTGGCCCACAGTTAAGAAAAGACTAGAAGTGTGTAAATGCAGAAAGGCAGAATCTATTTAAGGGCTCGGTGATAATTCCAGACGTGCATATTTTAGACGCACAGCGGGAATTGAAGTGGCAGTCTACTCTTGCTCCAGGCATAGAACCCAATTCTGTAAGAGTCAAAACACCAACTAAAGCCAAAGGAGCATCCTGCAGTAAACATGTCTAGTTCATTCAAGATGGACAGTGTACTGATTGTAGCGCTGGCATGCACGAGGAGAGGGTGACGTGACCTGGACAAGCAGGCTGGACTTTCCTGTAGAGGCCAGGGCTCCAGAGCCGGAAGGAGCGACAAGGTGACTTTTTCAAGTCTCAATTTACCGATGAGAAAACCAAGGCCTGGAAAGTGGTGGGTGAGGTTGGGCAGCAGGTCCGCTGACCCGTGACTCCCTTCTGCCCTCTGTGCTACCTTCAGCAAGTGCCCCCCACAGGGGCACGCTATCACTGGGCAGTTGTAGATGTACTTGTGCATTCATAAGGAGGGGAAAGCATTCCCTTTTGGCACTCAGAAGACTGTCTTGTTTCTGCTTTGCAGTGGGCTGCCGTGACGGGACCCGCAAAGTGTCACCTGTGGCGCTCACAGCCCCTCACGGCCTCGGCTTTGCTGGACCACGAAGCAGAGACACCGGTGCAGTTCCAGAAACTCGTATCCCCACCATCTGCTCTCGCTGGCTTTCCCTGGACTTCGTGAGGCCCAGCTTGCTTACTTCTAAGGAAACACCACGTTTCAGCATTCTCCCTCCAAGTATTCTGGAAGTTCATGAAGCAAGTGAGGCCACCGTAAGGACGCGCCCGACCTGACTTCAGAGCCAAAGCCCCACGCTGCACTCTGAGCCAGCGCTATCCCGTACGGTCCGGGCCTCCCTCTGCTGTCCCAGACAACGCTCCTCACTCCAAGGCCAGCTTTGACTCAGAGGAGAGGAATCACTGAAAACCTCACGAGATCTACTGATACATGGAGAAGAACACAGAAAGAAAATTGCTGATGATTAAGGACAGGAAACAATGGTCAATCAAGCCTTTCCAGGTTTCTAATTGCTAGCATTTAGCTGTGAAGAGATTGATTTCTCATCACATACTTTGTTTTGTACAACTTATTCTACACTAGCCTCTGGCTCCTCTTCTCTCAGCTATAATTCCTGGGATGATCTGCATCCCGCTCACTTGGCCTAACTTTTGTCAAGTTCAGGGGAAGATGATATCCAAGAGCCCCAGCACAGGGAAACATTTTGTTTCCATGTGGAGATGCCAGGGAGGAATGCACCCATCCACGTACATGTGTGTCTGAGAACTGTTTAGGAAAAGCAAATATCCCTTCGCCTCAGAGAAAACTGTTTCTCTTGAGAAGAAAGCGTAAGACTTTACTGAGTCTCACACGAATCTTGCGACACTGACCACAGGCTCCTGGAAGAGCACAACAAACAAACTGCGGTTTCTACATTCAAGATGGGTCTAACGTACTTTATGTATGACATGAAAGCTAGTCTACCTTCCCCACAGAGCCATGGAAAATGCTGACAGCCAGGATTTATGACTCCTCTTAGCACGGCTAATGCACAGCAGCTCTGGCCTCTTCAAGGCGGCCTCCTTCCCGTCACAGGATTAGAAATGTGACATTTACCCTGGAAGCTGAATTGGCTTGGCCAGTACCAGTGTTCCCTTGTTGATGGTCGCTTGTCTGTGTGCTAAATATCTCTATAACACAGGCATGATTTTATACATCGAGGGAAGAAAGCTTCACACGGAGATTAGCCAAGAGATGGGCACAGAATTCCAAATGAAGGCCATTTGCAAAGATAACCATGACAAGATGATAGGAAGGACTTGAGCACTCTGTGCGTGGAGACTGTGAGGCTTCCCTGATCCTGCTTTCATCGGCATTTTCACTCTGTTGGCACCTGTCGCGTGAGCCAGACAGTGCTGTCTGCGGGTTTTCAGGGCTCCAGACAGGAGGAAGATGCTCATTCGGGTCCACTCAGTTGCACTCGCATTCGTAACTGGGAAATGCTTCTCATTCCCTTTGCAACGCTCACTCCCCCTCACTTAGTCTTCTAGTCATTTTAGGACAGATACTGGCAGAACCAACCCGCATGCCTGGCCCTGGCTGAGAGACCACCGCGGTAAGCTCCTCCTTCGAGGGAGGGAGGGCCAAGATGGCTGGCCTGGCTAACTCACAAAAAAGGAAAGCCCGCCAGGGCCCATCGGAACCCGTGGTTTCCGGGTCCTGTGGTGACGCGGCCGGGGGGCCGTGAGAGGCTGATCAGTGTCTAACAGATGTACGAAAAGCACGGCTGCCCCAGAGTTGTGGAAGTGAGATGAGCCCACACCAGCAGCAGCAGCAGCAGCACGCCGACCACTTACACTGGGTCACAGGGCAGGAGGGAGAGCGGTGGCCGCCAGGAGCGCGGGCAGAAGGGAGCGGAGCGTGTGAACGAGCAGAGCTTCAGTTGGAGGAGAGGGCAGAGCTCTGGTGATGGATGCTTCAGGGCAGTAATAACACCAGTGACACTAACAAATGCTACTAGGAAATACTACCATATAAACAGCCAAAGGAAGACCCGAGACCATCCAAGCTGCTTACCTTTTCTGTGCTTTCTCCAAGTGAGCTTCTTCCGCTTTATGCTCCTTTTTGGCTGTGAAAGAAAAAAGGTTATGATTAAAACTGTTTCCTTACACACCTCTGGTGTCATTTCGTCACTCCGATGCCTTCAATCGCGGTTCCAAGATGTCAGATTCATGGGTTTGCAACTTCCCGCGCTGCCCTGTGGTTTGGAGACAGGACCCACTGTATCCCTTGTCATACTGCTTTGTTGTGCTTCCTCTGGGACACTTGGGAGAGCAAAAGGGAATAATAACACCGCATGCCACTCCCAACTCTTTAGGAAATTCAGGATGTTTATAAGTGCACTGAGAAAGGCCCAGATAAGATAACCGCATGACACGGAGACGCAGCTCTGCACCCAGCAACAACAACTCATAGCTGCAGGGATTATTTAGTAAAGCTCTTTGTTTTTTTTTTTTTTTTACATGTTTTCTTTCTAACTCAAGGTAATACCTTCAGGATGATCAGGAAAATACACAACTTGTAACATAATGTGTATTGTTACCTACGCAAACTTGAACTTACAATGATGCAGAATGAATGAACTAAGATGTGTCAAGTGTGGGATCAAGGGTTTGGAACAGGTGAACATGGGGTTTGGCTTACTTGTAGCGGACTTCTCGGCAGCTACAAGAGGCCTGGACGGAATGTCCTTCCCACGGAAGGCTGTGTCCTCCACACTGGGGGGTTTGGAAAGGCAGCTCCTCAGCAGCTTCCACGTCAGAGCCTGCCGCTTTGCCTGAACTCTCAGCCGCAGTCCCACGCCCACTGCACTGTGGCTGGCCGTATCAGGGCGCTCAGCAGTCACTCCGTGGAGGAGTTGGGCGTGGCTTCACGGGGCACCACAGCTGTGTGGTCTTGCATCCAGACGCCAGGCTGCCTCTCAGCAGCAGTAAGGCCGCTTTTCCCTTTGATATTCACGTGGCACCCGAGTAGCACTTTCAATTCCCCTCGGGAGCTTTCCTCTGCATTCAGTCTGGCTAAATTTTTAGTGCAAGATGCCTCGCCTTCTGCTTTTCTTGGCTTTTAACATACCTTCATCTCCTAGTTGAACATCCTAAATTTTGAATTAAAGTGAGAGGCTCTTCCTTCCACGTGAGCACTCAGAGTCCGCGGCAAGGTTATTCACGGACCTGCGTCTCAGGGCACAGGGAGGCTGAGGAGGAGGAGAGACATGGGTGGTGGCAAGTGGGTGGAGCGGTCGGGTCATGTACATCCATGGATTAAGTGTTAGAGGGCACAGCTCCAGGCGGCCAAGACCATTACAACACTCATGTCAAGGACGGCCGATAGAGCCAGGCTTTGATGGCTTATACCCACGATCCCAGCTACCTGCACAGTTTGAAGCCCGGCCTCAGCTCCCGAGAGGAAATGAGAAATAGCGGTTCAGCCAGTCGAAGATGGCTGGGCGGCTGGTTCCCATCGACCAAGGTCTGTGACAGACAGTCTAACGGGGGAGACACTGCTTTCCTGAAAGGCTGCAGTAACCACCCCAAGTCCGAGAGCTGAGGCGTGCAGACATTGCGCTGTCTTCCTCGGATACCGCGTTCGTGACTAGTGGCAGCTGTGTGCATCTCTGCTCAAGCCAGTCTGGCAGTGCCATTTCCCAGCAGCCTCTGCTCTCGATGTGTCTGTCACCTTCCAGAAACCTCCACAATATTTCATAGATTCTCATTGCCATCTCTACAGTAGTCTGTGACTAGTGATCGTTCCCGCTCTTTTTCGCTGGTGCCAGGGCTTTAAGCTCTCAAGTCATGCCTCCAGAGCAGCTTTTTGGTGGTTGTTTCAGAGACGGGGTCTTGTGGCATTTCTGCCTGGGCTGGCTCAGTCTGTGATCCTCCAGATTCCAGCCTCCGGAGTAGCATTCACATGGAGCAGTCCAAGTAAAACACTATGCAGAGGACATAGGGATCTATTCCAAGTGTAATTAAGTCATATTTATGGGTACCATCAGCGAGGTAGTAAATTGTGAAATGAGGAAGGAAGAGAGGCTTGAATATCTTCCTAGTATTCTTTGCAGCCTATTACACTTTAATACACCATGGTTTATGGACCTGACATGATTGGTATAAACCAACAGGATGACAGTAAAGAAGCTGTTTTTATTGCAGCCGTATAAGTAGAGGAGCCCAGGGATGCTAATGAGCACAAGGGCAGCCGTGCTCTGCTCCGTGTGGTATCTACCGGCGTGAACAAGGCGGCCATTTTTCATTCCTTAGGAGACTGCTCTGTGGTACACTTCCCGGGGGAAAAGACTGCTGTTGGCAGCAGAGGTGACAGTAGACCCCCCGGATACTGGGAAGACAAGAGACATTCAGACGCACAGAGCCACTGAGTTCTGAAAGCGTTTACCGTATCTTTCTCTCGGAACATTTATCCATGGAAGATGACACGTTACCTAGTCTTCCTGCCTTATTAGCTCTTCCAGCTGCATCCCATCAGATCTGACGTGGAGCGTACGCGGGGAAGTACGTGGGTGATCCAGGTGAAGCGAGTGAGTGTGTGCAGGACTTGCTGGAGGATGCTGACACCTGCCTCGCTCAGCCTCCAGCGTGTGGCCAGATGTCCTTGACCTGTGCTCACACAGAAGCACACTAGGGAGCTCAGGCTTTTGGCACAAGGGACAAGTAAAAGACATTGTACCAGGAGCTTTGAAGCGGTCACACAAAGACAGCCTTTAACAAGCCGTCATGGGTCCTGTCCTCTTCATCCTCTGCCATTTCGCTGACTTTCATAATGGAACTTGAATGCTTCTTCTCTAGGCACCAAAGAAATACAACACACTGCTGTTGCCTAACTTGGGACCCGGGCTGCTCTCACGCGACCTGCAGGACACCGGGGAAGCCAGGGGTCGATGGTCCCTCAGCGCCCCTCCCTGCCCACCGGCTGCATGTCAGCAGGAACATCGTTAGATGTATTAGATGCTCTTTGGTCATTCACATTTTTACACTTCTGAATCCAGATGCTTCACAGAAGTCCTAGGAGAGCTGTTGCGGTGACATTTGAGTTAGGAAGTGTTATAAAAGCGTCCCTGTTATATATATATCCTGAGAAGGGCTGTACCATTCTCATGTTATGATGACCTCAGCGATTATTTACACAGGTGATGGCCGAGATGAAGGGATTGCCCTACAGCCTCCACCAGCCGCCTGGCTCCACATCCAGCCCTGCTCTACCGCTGCTTCTGTGAAAGAAACTTCTCTGTCGACGCTAGGGAGGCAACGTGGGCCACAGCTTTGCACACATCACACTGCCACGCCAACCACGGCAAAGGCTTTGCACACTTATCACACTGCCCACGCCAACCACCACAAAGGCTTTGCACACATCACACTGCCCACGCTAACACGGCAAAGCCTTTGCACACTTATCACACTGCCCACGCCAACCACCACAAAGGCTTTGCACACTTATCACACTGCCCACGCTAACACGGCAAAGCCTTTGCACATTTACCACACTGCCCACGCCAACCACGGCAAAGGCTTTGCACACTTATCACACTGCCCACGCCAACCACGGCAAAGGCTTTGCACACTTATCACACTGCCCATGCCAACCACGGCAAAGGCTTTGTGTGGCCTTTTCCCCCCCAGTATACTTTAGCTGAGATGTTTTTCCCCCCAGACTCAGGTAAGTTTTTCAACTTATGATATTGAGGAGACTCTCAGCCTTTCAGACTCTGTAAGGAATGGTGCTCCTTCTTAAAGGAATCCATTAACTAGCATTCTACCCCTCCCCCCGCTCAGTGGCGCCGGGACGCAGTGGGCGCAGTGGGCGCAGCGGGCCATCCTCGCTCAGCAGCAGACGCAGCGGGCCACCCCACTCAGCAGCGGACGCAGCGGGCCATCCCCACTCAGCAGCGGGCCATCCCCACTCAGCAGCGGGTGCAGCGGGCCATCCCCACTCAGCAGCGGACGCAGCGGGCCATCCCCACTCAGCAGCGGGCCATCCCCACTCAGCAGCGGACGCAGCGGGCCATCCCCACTCAGCAGTGGGCCATCCCCACTCAGCAGCGGACGCAGCGGGCCATCCCCACTCAGCAGCGGACGCAGCGGGCCATCCCCACTCAGCAGCAGGCCATACCCACTCAGCAGCGGGCCATCCCCACTCAGCAGCGGGCCATCCCCACTCAGCAGCGGGCGCAGCGGGCGCAGTGGGCCATCCTCAGCAGCGGGCGCAGCGGGCCATCCTCACTCAGCAGCGGGCCATCCTCACGCAGCAGCGGGCCATCCTCACGCAGCAGCGGGCGCAGCGGGCCATCCCCACTCAGCAGCGGGTGCAGCGGGCCATCCCCACTCAGCAGCGGGCCATCCCCACTCAGCAGCGGGCCATCCCCACTCAGCAGCGGGCCATCCTCACTGGGCACAGTGGGCGCAGTGGACCATCCGCACTCAGCAGCGGGTGCAGTGGGCACAGCGGGCCATCCTTACTCAGCAGCGGGCCATCCTCACTCGGCAACTTCTTGTTTTGGGGTCACACTGACACAGTTCTCAAGAAAGCTGTGAAGCCATGTCGTCCAGCCATTAAATTGCATTGCAGAGACAAAGGGCAACGCAGCGCGTTGACGCTGTGACCTTCCTGGTGACGCTCACCGCGGCGGATCGAGAGCGCACACCTCCCAGTGCCCTGCGCGCCCCAGCGAGCGCGGCTCCCCAGGACTCGCAGACGCAGACCTGGTGCCCAGACCCACGCTGAAGCACACGGTCTCCACAGGAGCGTGCACAGCAGAGGGGAATTTCAGCTTTCACTCTGAATTTCCTGACTCTTGACGCGTTAACACAGACCATGGGGCGAGTGGCTCGTGAGCGCTCACGGGAAGCAGGTGCTGCGGCCTCCGGGCCGAGAGTCTCCACGTCGCGCCACCTTCCAGGCCCACAGGTACCTGGGACTTGTCAGCATGCGACCTTTGTAAAAAGTTACTTTCTGATTTATTTTTCACAGATACTTCTAAATAAGCATATTTGTGGCGTAGGCTTTTTTCACTTAGGGAACAACTGTAGCCAAGATCCTGCTTCTTCTCTGCCGACC